ATTTTGTCTGATGTGTATGTTTTCTGTGTGTGTGTGTGAGACTTGTTTTCAGTGTGTGTGTGAGACTTGTTTTCAGTGTGTGTGTTTTCTGGACGATATGTGAATGAAAGAGTTGAAGTGGTTCTTGCTGTTTGTGTTTTACTGTGGTTGGTTGTGGTTGTTGTTGTTGTCATCCTCGTGGATTTGTGCCATGTTACTGTGTGTAAGTGTTTGTTTAAATGACGTGAAGTGTTGTCATATTGTCTTTATCATTGTATATTTATGAGCTGTGAACTACAGTGTAGCCTCAGGATTAAATTATTAATAACTAGTCACACAGTCCTGAAAGCAATGATGTTAGGACTGTAGTAAAGAGCTTATTGTGAATGGAGGAACTCATTTAAATAAAAAAACAAAAACAGAATCAACAAATACAAATAAGCACTTTATCTGACGTGTATCCATGGATATATTCATGGAGCTGGATAGTCAGTCTGCATTGTTGCCTGTTTGTCCTGATGAAGTGCTGTTCAGAAACATTTTCTTCTTAGAGCACAAACTGTTAAACCAGATAACAGGATACCTTGAATGTAGGTGAAGGTAAATTATTACTCCCTCTTTAGACACACACATTTTAAGCCGTACGTTTTTGGCACCATGTGCTAACATTAGCACATCAAGCTGAGTGATGCAGTCACTCTATGGTGGATGTAAATGAAACACTGGAACTGAAAGACCCGCCGGCGTCCATTACATTAATTGATCGGGACTAATTCAGGTTCCTGGTCCGCTAGAAGAGACACAGAAAGTTTGTTTATCGGACGAGGATGACACGTTGGTGTTGTTCCACCGTTGTGCAATACATACATGTTTGTGTGCTTTGAATGTTTGAATGTTGCAGAGGTGGAACTGATTTATTTTTAGTATAGAGAAAAGTCTATTGTGACCTGTTGCCTTTTGGGTAAAGGGTTCAGTGTGTAATACAGAAATGCTTTAAAAAGATTCTCTTTTCTCATAATAAAAATATTATACCAAAGTTGCCAGAGGGCAGAATACTTCCTCAGTCCCCAGAAAGAGGATTTTGTCAGTCTTTGATACCTCCTGGCTTGTCTGTTCAGAATAAATGAAAAGAAACAATCCCCATGCATTACTCCCCGAGCTCACACTAAAACGAGAATGAACCGAACCACCAGTTCTGTGTAGCGTTACGCCCCTATGGCAGAAGCACTAGCATGATGTATAGAGTTTGAAAATGACTATTGACAATTGTGAACTTTCATTATGAGCTGCAGCGGAGTGTTTACCGTCTCTCCCTTCTGTCACGCTCCTTAATGGTTTAAAATGGATTCTACTTTATTTTGATTATAACAGCCTGCTCTGTTGTTTTAGTGATTGTGTCGTCTTCATAGATGTCTTCGCGCGGCTCTCACCTGCTGTGTTTGTGTGTGTCAGTTCTACCTGCAGGACACTAAAAGCAGCAATGGGACGTTCATCAACAGCCAGAGGTTGAGTCGCGGCTCGGAGGAGAGTCCGCCCTGCGAGGTTCTCTCCGGCGACATCATTCAGTTTGGCGTCGACGTCACTGAGAACACCCGCAAAGGTACGTGCATATACTGAATATATTTCCACACAGTAATATATGAATATTAATAACACTATTTCACAGTATGCTGAGAGAGACGCCGAATGGAAAGAATAAAACAAAGATGGTTACAGCGAGGTAGAACAGAGAGAGGCTTTTTTTCCTTCCTCTACCAGCCTTGTAGATGATGAAGCACACATACAAACTGAAATAATTACACTTGACTAACCCTCAAGGGTACCTAAGGGCTCATTTTGCTTAGGTCATGGACTACATGCTTTGCATAGCAGATATTGAGGTCAGATTTTCAGCTCCACTAATACTTCTTTCATTCTGGAGACCCAAGGCGCATTCAACCTGCATTGGACTTCATTCATATTAGGTTTCTATTACAGGTCAATGTGTGAGCATCGCTGTTACTCCAGTCTATAATTCCAAACACAACACTGCTAAACCACAGAATTACATTAGATAAATGCCACCAAATAAAAGTTGTAGCTCATTTTCTCAGGAAGAGCATAATGAATGTGTAGTGTGGCAGGTTTTTGTTCTTCAACTACAAATCCAGTCAGGCAGCTATTGGCAATATGAAAATCAATTGTCAGGTTCTTGAAACATGCTTGAGTTATATTATCCATCCGGTCCACACGTCGAAGTGTCCTGGATCAATACACTGAACCAGGATCCCAGTGTGTGTGTATGTGGGCAAAAAATCTCTTTGGACAAAAGCTTCTTCCCAGTATACGTGGCGGGGGGAGCGCACACAAACAGTGACTGCTCATGTGTTTTCCTTTGTCTGTTTTTTTTATCAGTTTTCTATGATGTTGTATCTTGTTTTGGGGAGCCGAAGACAAATTTCCACCAGAGTGGAAAATAAAGATATGTTCTATTCTGCAGCAATCACTGGAATAATCTTACAATCAGTGCAGAGAGCAGCTCTTCAACATTCTTTACAGTGTGTACAGTACAGCAGAGTCTTATTGTCAGCACTAGTTTTAAAGGTAGGATTTCATGGCATCTAGCTGTGAAGTTGCAGAGTGAAACCATTTGAATACACCACAGCCTTCTAAACCTGTAGGAGAAACTACTGTGGTCTTATTTTCAGGTACATACAATTATAAAAATATTATGTTATATGATTAAAAAAAGCTGTAGTTAACTTTTATTTTACAGCTGGTGTTGTTCAGGACTCTTTACGCTCTCCATGCTCACTGATGATGGAGAACCTTTTGCAGAACTCCCAATTTCTCTCAATATGATGTTGACTCAGAGCTGGTAACCAGTGCTGAACTGTTAACATGGTGGTTGTCTGTCTGTTTTTCCAGTCACTCATGGCTGCATCGTGTCAACAATCAAACTCTTCCTACCTGATGGGATGGAGGCACGCCGACGAAGCGAGTAAGCATTTTCATTGGTTAACACTGATCCATGAACCTTTCATATTGATCCCTCACCAATTGTAACCAAACTTTGTCCGCGGGGAGACGGCTTGATGAAAGATCTTTGATTTGTTACTGCTTGTTAATGCAACATTATATTTGGACAGTTGAAACAGTTTCTGATGGTATTAATAGTTCTGTGGTTACTGTAAATAAAGGATGCGGTACTGCCTGTCTGGTTGCTTTTACACACACACACACACACACACAATATTTCTGCTGGAATAGTGATGTGATTAGTGTCAGTCTAGTTGTTGATGAGGACAGCCATTTTGTTAACAAGCTGTGAGGGAAATGGTGTGTGCGTGCGTGTGTGTGTTCATGTTTTTGATCTTTGTGATAACCATTTGAAAACTGTTGATGCTGTTGGACGAGTGGTCATTTGATGTTTACATGCGTTCATGCTGAGGGTTGGAAAATGATGGATATTCTGTTCACACATTATATTACTACAAATGTGTGTGTGTGTGTGTGTGTGAGTGTGAGTGTGTGTGTGTGCAGTTAAATGGACCGTGGAAGATGAGCAGCTGACCCAGCATGGAACTTCCTACTGTACTGGGAGTCCCACCTGTGTCTGTGTGTGTGTGTGTCTCAGTTTGTAACTGGCTACTGTAGATACCATGTGGAATCTGTGTGTGTGTGTGTGTGTGTGTGTGATGCCGGGGCATGGTGCCATGGTGGGCAGTGCCATCTGCTGACCTGCTGTCCAGCTTTCAGTCTGGAAAACACAGACGAGCATCCTGACCTTGCTGAAATAAAGACTTCTGGGTCTGTTCTGCTCCCTGCTGTCTGTGTTGGCAAACGATGAGTTGACTTCCTATGACCGCTTGCATATTTCAGAACCATCTCTATGCAGCTCTGTCTCTATAAAGTGCAGCTGGAGAGAGAGAGAGAGAGAGAGATATGAAGCTAAATCAGACAGATTTATTAATAGCTGAAGAATGTTTCTGCTTCCTGGCGTTAGCATTAGCTGTCTGGAGGTCTGCCAGATACAACTTTGTGCATTGGCCCTCTGTGTGTGAGCAAACTTGATTAAATGTTATCTTTCATTATAACTGTGGGTGTGAACCCAAAAACACAAAAGATTAATTTACCTTTTCTTTTGCATTTGCATTTTTTTAAACTTCAGAGCACTAAAGCATGTGGCAGCAGTGTCCTTTAAATATCTGCAGTCTCAGCTCCCTGCAGGCACCTTCATTAGATTTATTTTAAAAACCCATATTATTGTGTTTTATGTCTAATACAAAACACCTGCTGTGACGTCACTGATTGGGGTGTGGCCAGAGAAACGTGCTGCAGCAGCTTTCTACCTCCGTCTGACTGACTGTTATTCATTCACGTTATTGCTATGAATGAGGTGAGAAGAACAGTATTCAATTCACAAGTTAGAGCAAGTTGTAAATTTGAGCTCTTACTGTGCTTTATTTAATGTCTCACAGTTCCTGTTTCTGTAAAGGAAGCATGCAGGTAAAAATATGACTCTGATAATGAATCCAGACCTGTTTCAGGTTTAGCCACCATTGTTTATCTCCTGTCACTGTTTGGTTTATGACAATAGTTTCCCTCTGTTTCCCTTATCAGTTTTCCTTAAACCAGCCACACTGTCACACACACTCATGATCAAGAGTATGTTTCATTTTCAGGACCATTGCTCTCTTCCAGGTGAGTGGAGCTTTTGAATGTTGGCTTGTAGATTAATGAGCCTTAGAATAATATCTCCGCCCCTCTCATGCAATGGCAGGTTGGTTATCCAGCACACCTTTATCCTCCCACATACCATAAAGTGAAGAGCTATAGCTCCTGCTGAGAGGAGTTTATTCCCTCACAATGAGTGCCAGGAGGGGTGGAGCTACAGCTACTTGCACAAGTTAAAGGAAGAAAATCATCTGTTTTGCTCGGAGGAAGGGAGGAGCAAAGAGTAGAAAGAAAGAAAGTTTGTGTTATGGGATGATTTCGCTCACGCTGTGGAAAAAAGAAGAATCAGCTGCTTGACCTGAAACTAGGAGAAAAAAAATGAAGTAACAAGGAAGAATCCATTTTCTCACAGGAGTAGCTGAGTCAGGCTGAGATAGAGGCCGAGCAGTGAACTTTGTCCTCACATATGTGGCTGACGCACACAGGAAGGAGACCTGACAGGTAACGTCTCTGTTGTCAGGGTTTTTACCTTCAGATGGTCCTGATCAGGCGAGGGCTTGCTGCTGATTGTTCATGGAGCTTCATGGCTAAATACTAATTTAATGAAGATTTGTGTTACAGCACAGTGCGAGGTTTGAACTGTTGATTGTATCTGTTATAAGGGCAGCGAGGGATCTATGTCCTGTCATAAAATATAGTGGAAGGCTGAAGTGCTTGATATTTGCTCTAGAAGATACGATACAGACCTGGTTTCTTGTGGTATGTTCAGATGACTGTTGGGTTTGTTGTTCATGCTGTCTGCAGGCAAAAACATGAGAGATCAAACCTGAAGTAGCAGCTGTGTGGAAAGCATCCTTTACTCTTTTGTTGTTTTTGTATATACAGTAGTTGTTGCTTTATAAACAGGACTGTTTTTCTGTGCAAATCTGTTCCAAGTAGAGAGATCCTCCTAGACTGGTTCAAGTGTCCCCGAGGATCAGGGTCAGGCGTTGTTTGAAATTCTTTGAGACTAGTGTTCATATGTTTTGGTGTAGACTGAGCTGCACTAACGATTATTTTCATAATCGGTTTCATTATCTGTTAGTTGTTTTTATGAGTCTCTTATTTGTTTAGTCTAAAGCAGTCCAGAAATAGGTGAAAAGTGCCCTTCACAATTTACCAGAACCCAAGGTGATTGTGTCTTCCATTGTTTGGTTTTTGAACTATTTGCTGGACAAAAAAAAAATATTTCTTCAGTTTTCCCAACAATATCTTTATCAGTGTCTTCAAACAATGTCCAATTATAAAGAAGCAAATGTGTTCACATCCATAATGAGAGGTAATATCAAAAGCAAATATGCTAAAGTCAAACATTTGAATTGGGTAGACATGTGAAAGATGATGATAATAATGATAATAATAATAATAATAATAATAGTTAAAAAAGCTTTTCAAAAGGGTTCCCTTACTGTTCACGTCGTTATATTTACGTCATATTTTCGATATTTGTATATTAATGCCAAACTCAGAGAGATAATTCACATGAAACAAAACCATCAAATAACAAAATGTTCTCCAAGACCGCTTCACGAGTCCTCCACGACAGGTCAGAGTTTTGCTGTGATTGTAAAACCTGTTCAGTGGTAGAAATATCTGAGCACGGCACATATGGAAACTACTGCAAGTGTTTTCCATCATCAGTCTCTGCTGGACCACATGCAAAACACACTCAGCTAAATCTGATGTGGATGACTGATTCCTGTGGACCGGCTGCACTTTGTGTGTGTGTGTGTGTGTAGGCAGACTTGATGTACTTGTGAGCCATAGTTGAAGAGCTGTGAATTTAGGTCATGTTAGACTTTTTCCATCTATTTAAAATGTGTTATTTTGAAGCAGTGCTGGTTTGGTCTTTGCAGTCAGTGTTAAATGATGACTGAAAATGAGTGATTTGTTTCATGTAGACAGATCCTGCTGTGGACACCAGCTGTGGAGGTTTGAGTTCAGTTTTCATGACACCCTGAAGTTTGAGCCTCTATGCATCATGGGCAAGACTAGAACAGGGGACGATATGGTTAGGATCTTAGACCCGCTAGGATGCCACAACATGTTTTTCATTGTTGTCAGTCTCACAGTTGTTTGCTTCTGTCACCTATCAAACGGCACATAACTTAAACCTCCGTAGAGTCTACAGTCTCTGTCTAATGTGATTAGTGTTGCAGGTATTTGGTCATGAATCGAGAGCATCACCAAAATGATTACATTTCATTCTGATGGGAACATGAATGGCAATCCACTTGAGGAACATCTCCCAAAATCATCAGGAAACATTGTCTGGGAATCATGAATGTCTGTGTACAGTCTCATGGAAATCCATTCAACACTTGTTGAGATATTTCAGTCTGGATCAAAGTGGTTAACCGACTGAATGACAAAAAGACCACATTGTCCCTTATTCCTAGAGCAATGCTACCAGCATGGCTACCGCTGTTGCCTTATTGAATGACCTCTATCTGAAACATTCCTGTTTGTGAAATAGATTTGAAACACAAGTAAAAACCTAGCAATCACTTCAGGTTATATGAAGCCCCTGCGTACAGCTTGTCAGATCCCTACTGTGGCAAAAGGGCTATTTGATTCATGAACTGGCAAAAATAAATAAATAAATGAAATGAAATTATGAACAGGGGGCCTCCTGCTGCGATGATGCTGTTTGAGTGACAGAACAGCTGCTGGCTATGATGATAAATAAAACAACATTATGCACAGTGATTGCCCTGGGGATGAAAGATTAAAGCGTGACAGACCGCTGTGACTGAATGAATGTAGCAAAAACAAATTATTGAAACCACACAGTAAGATGGACTTATAAAGGACAAGAGTACCTTTTCAGTGGCCACAAGTGTCCGTGGCAGTCAGAAGACTTGGAAAAAATGTGCTAGAAAAAAGTTTAATTGCTGTATAGCATCGTACAATGTATCTATTTTAATGGGCCCTGGAAAAACAAGACGCACATCTACTAAACAGTCTAAGTTCACGAAAGTTGAGAAGTGACAAACACATTTTTTATCCTGTGTGTTTTATCAAAAGTACACCTAGTTTCATTCTAGTAACCCTTTTACAACGTATATTGAATGTAATTGTGATTTTTGTAACATTTATTTAATAAATTCTACTGAAATGATCTGATGTCACAGCTCACAGAGAGAGATTACATAAAAGAGATTATAAATAAATCTTGTCCCGTTTGAGACAGTGACGTTTTTGTAAGACGAGGATTCCTGGAGGACACTTGCAGTTCTTCCTGAGTGTCAGGTGATCAACAGGCAGCAGAGCTCATTGTAATGCAGCTCTGATATGAAAACACTTAACTCAGCACATTAAAATCACAGAAAGTCTCTGGTGTTTACTGTGATGGATGATGTTTCTCTGTGGAAGCAGTTTGTCACACTGAAGGAGAACAGCAGCAGCAGAAACCCTGATCCCTGCAGAGAACCTGCACTGTTGGTGCTTAAAGTATAAAAGTCCTTCTGGTAATCACTAATAAAAGCACTCTTCCCACCTCATCCCTTTATTTTCTGCCTACATCTCTGCCTTTACAGATTAATAACAACTGCCAGGGTTTCAGTATTAGCAGCTGTTTTCTTTTGTTTGACTTAACCTTTAGTGGAGTAGATTTAAACTCTGTTCTGTTGGTTTGTATCTTTATTGGTCTCTATTGTTCTGTTCCTAGAGTAGAAACATTATATGAGATTATAACCTGGATCGGGTTGCTACGGCTATTTGTAAATCCATCAGTTTTAGTATTTAGTAACTACCAGCTACACTCAAACTGGTGATTTACTAAATCTGGTTGCATCATTAAAACTAAAGGAATGTCTTAGTGAGTAAAGACCTTAGCAACGTCTAAATCGGAAACATAACTTCCAAAAATAAAGTTGTGACGGAACAAAGAAAGCAGGCTATTTAAATGCATTGACAATCTTTTTTTAATTGTGGGCATGACTTTTTTTTGTATCTTTCTGTATACATGGAGAAAAAGGTGTTTCAGAACTAGCAGTCTTATTTGGTAGTTTAGTCTAATAATATTGGCATTATATTTTGCAAAATTATATATATTACCAGTGTGTTCTTTTTGGCATGTCTTGTTAAAATCTTTGATGTTGGTTAATGAAGGTTATTGACTATAACTATAACTATACTATACCAGTATATTATTTATATTATACTGTTATTAAACAGCATTTTGAGCCAACATTCAGGTCAGATATGTCAACAATATATTACTTCTTTTACCAAACAGGATATATATAAGCAAGCTAATTTTGTCCCTTGGTTCAGGAAGTTGTGTGGCATAAATATTTAGTAACTAATATCTACGTGTGCTGCAAACTAAAGTGAATAAATAAGAATGAATCTCAACTTAGCAGTCATAATGTAAATAGGGTAATGTTGAGCTACAGACAGCTGGTGCAACTTGCTCCTGATGCAGATGATAAAACATTCTGATAATATTAATACACAGTGTTTTCTGTGTTCATGCTCTAGCCATGTCTTTATGTGTCTGTGTTTGCTCCGGGTGCTCTGGACTAAATCTGAATGTGAGGTTGAATTGTGTATTTGTCAGCCCGGTGATAGACTGGTGACCCCACCTCTCGCCCATTGTTGACTGGGATAAACTGCAGCCCCCCTGTAGCCTTGCAAAAGATACATGAATGTAATTAAATGGTAGACAGCATGAAATCAAAGTAGTGTATTATAAATATAGTCAGTACAGAATTATTTCAAGTATTTGAATATGAATGTCTGCAGTATTAAATTTAAATTAACTGAGAGAAGGTTGTGTTATTTCCTCATAGTTGCTGTCCAGGCTCTTGCAGTGTGCTGGTTGGTAGTTACTCATTAACAGAGTTATATTTCTCCCAGAGTCTTAGTTTACCTTCATTCCTGAACTGACTGTTTCCAGGGGAATTCTGCATTATCTTCACCCCCACTAAAACAAACCTGTCTGACCTTGTGTTGCTGTAAGATACTGTACTTTGGGTAAATATATCCACAGAGATCAAGTTCATGCAGGGCTGAAACTGAAGGTGGCCAGTTTTCCCCACAGTGTGACTCATGTCTGCTGTTGTTTGAGTGCTTTATGGACAAAAAAACTCACACAGATTGTAATCTTTTTGTAGTTGTTTGTGATTTGCTCTGACGCATTAGATCTGATTTTCTTTGTTTTTAAATCTCCATCTATGCAGCTACAGTCATAACTCTTATCAGTGTTCATTTGATTGATACCTGGACCTTATTAATACACAAGGCATATAAAACACCTGGCCTGTGGTGTATCTGATTTTCTTCTTGTAAACTTGAGTTTTTTGCTTCTTATACTCACAATTACACCTATTGGAAATAAAGTTAGCTGTTTAAAATAAATGTTATGAGTAACAATAAATCTGTAGGTTAAGGATTACAGGGTTCAATTAGCACCTCACACTTGAGTTTGTGAGTGAATCGATTGATTGGACTTTGTATGTGGAATATTGTCAGTCACAGATTGTATGTAGAGTGCTTTAAATGTACTCTTGGGCTCTGATTGATGGTACATTATTGGGGCATTGTTGTGACTGACCGAGCTATCTGAAGGAAAAAGTTGTATGAGTTGTAAAGCTGACATTGTGCATTAGAAGCCTGGCCTCAGGATGCTCTGTACGAGTTTCAAGACACAGACAAATTGTCTGCTTGGAACAGTAATGTGTGTCTGATGTTTTAAATATAATCTGCACTAGGGCTACACATTATGGTAAAAACCTCATATTGCGGTTATTTTGACATAAGATTCACGACTAGTGTGGGAATTATAATTGTTGCATCACACATTTGTTTCATTAAAAAAAAAAAAAAGATTATGGTGATGTGAGATTTTTGGGGTCTGTAACATGTTTTCTTAAATCTGGAGAACAAGATTGGTAGGCCAAGGCGTCTCTACAGCACTACAGGACTCCATTATAATGCTGTGCTGTCACCTTTTTTTACCTGTATCAAAACATTGCAGCTCTCACAATTTGCATAGTGCTTCTGCGATTTGCATATTTTAATTTCGGTAATGTTTCGATTAATTGTGCAGCTCTAATTTCCACATTAAAATCCTTAAAAATCTGCTCCTTCTCACAGATGTCTCCTCACTGTAAAGTCCTTTCTCAGTGTTTGTGCACTGGTGGCTGCAAGGTTTTACATCCCACTTTCATACTGGACCAGATGACTAGTTGTTGCTCTGTGTGCATTCAGTACAGCTTTTCTTCTTGAATTTACACGGAGGGGTGGACAAAACAGCAAAAACAACTAACAGTTGGGTGAAGCTCGTAATGTTACAGGTGTTTATTGAACTTGAGGGTTGTCTGTGAAGCTGTAGTTTAACTGTTAAGTAGGTCCTCTCAAATGTGTGTGTGTGTGTGTGTGTGTGTGTGTATCAGTATTTTTGAGTAAATCTGTACAAGGAGAAAATCAATATATTCATGGAAGAGAATTATCTGAATCCATGGAAGTCTGTATTGATATTTAAATGTCCTCGAGGCGACGTGGAGCAGAGGAAGTTAAGATGTTGTGTCTCCCCTCAGCAACTACGACATATTGAGATTAGTTTTTTGTTTAACGAGGAGGTGAAAAACGAGACCTTCAAGAACCATTTCTTCTTCTTCTGTCGCCGTGGTTACTCCATGTGTCTTTTCCTCCCTGCTGTTTCCATGGTGACAAACTGTTTTCTCTTTTCTTCTCCTCTTTCAGTGTCATCCAGACTCCGTTACCACTACCTGTAGACAAGGTAAGAGCAGAAGTGTGTGTGTGTGTGTGTGTGAGAGTGAGTGTTTGTGTGTGTGTGTGTGTGAGTAATGAACCACACCTACAGTCACACGCTGCTCCTACTGTGGTCTTTATTNNTGTGTGTGTCTGTGTGTGTGCGTTCTGTCCCGTGTTCAAGTTGTTGATCTCTGTTTCAGATTTACATCTATGCATGCTCCTCAGTGACTGGGCTGAGCTTGTGTTGGGTAGTTTTACACACATAAGTAGTGATTGCAGAGACACACACACACACACA